GCAATGTGATGTTCATTCTAGAAGTGAACCTCGCCGTATTAAGCTGTTCATCCTCTGGACCGACTGATAGGCTGGCGTAAATCTGTGAGTGGAAATGTGACTTCTTAAAGATCCTTTTCCGCTGTCCTTCTTGGTGTTCGGTTCCTCTTTCTTTTTTTCCCCTTCCTGCCTGCCTCCATGAGTGGGGAGGGACTAGTGGGTTGTGGAATTGATTTCCAAGAAAAGCCCTTAGTCTTGAGAGACCTTTTAAACTAAACTGTTAAAAGCCTTTGAGAATCAACGTTAAAGGGTATTTTTGTTATTGGTGAGATAACCAAATCACTTTTTCCCCTCCGTTTTTATATATCCAGTGCTTCCCTGTGCCGAACTCCCAATTATTAAAGACTTCAGAAATAGTCCAGCAGTGACAAGGTATAACATCCTAAGGACAATCGATAAGTACGATACTTCTCTCACGATGTGCGCATACCTCTGTCCTCTGGAGAGCAGAGGATTCGTCACTAAGTGGGCTCAGAGACACGGTCGGGCATTGCACAAGCTTTTCTGTGTTTAATCGATGATGGTTGACTCCAGAGAACCACCCGCTCCAGGCTGATTATCTCTTCTGCTGAGCCCCAACTGCATTTTTTTCCAGCTCTGTCTGAAGAGCGTGCAGAGCCAACGAAAGGAAGCTAAATGACATGCAAATGAAAAAAATATATATTACTTTTGTTTTTCAATTAAGAAAAGCCAACTCCCAAACAATGCTAGGGTTTCTCTGGCTCTGAGGCGCGTGCAATCGCCCTAAATGGGCAAAAAAGCAAGTCGAATCTTTCTCGGCGACAACGGTTCAGCTTTTGGGCCTGGGTCTTCCAGAGCTGGAGCCAACTGGTGGATAATATTGGGGAAGATCTCCAAGATCTCCCCCACCCCGATCCCCAGATAAAGGCAGTTTTTCCATTCCCTTTCTTCAGCTTTCTGGTTCCACATACCTAAGTAACATTGAAAACTTAACTCGCATACCAAAACCCTGCAACACCCTTTATTAAAACAACAACAAAAACAAAGCGACATCCCATCTCAGCTCTTAATGCTTGGCCCCAAAATGACGTTTGCTGGCAGAGGGATGGAAATGCAGCAGAAATACATCTGGCTGGGATTGCTGCTCAGCCAAACTAGATGCACGAAAGGCTCTCCGTGGACCTGACCCTTTGTCGCTGCCTGTCCAGTCTTGCGTTTTGGTGGGGTTGCTGTTTTCCGACTGTCCCCATTACGGCTGTATGACTTGGTAGGCCACCTCTGTCTTCTGACACTTGGGAGGGTGCGAGTATATCTGATTTTACACTGATTTTGGCCAAGCCGATCTGGAAGTTTGGCGTTTTCGGTTTCCCAGCAGGAGCTTTGGCTGGAAAGGGTAGGAGCAAAGTTTTTGAGATGAACGGAACTGAAGCAGAGCAAACGTTGGCATTGTACAGCTTGCTCTTCCTTTTCTTTTTTTAAAATGTTGTTCAGTATCCTAAGCCGTACAAAATTGATCTCTTTCATATAGATGTGAGACTGTTGGTTGAAAGAGGGAAGAGATGATTTGAAGTGTAAAGAACAAACAGGCAACATTGTCTTAAGCTGCAGTGGTCCGAAACTATCAAATTCCTTTTTGGAGATCCGGAGAAAAACTTGCAAGCCCGAAGCCTGTTTGTTTTTACCAACTCTATCAGTTGGTCTAAAAAGAGACCGCCTCCTTGCTTTGCTTAGAATGAATAAAGTGATTTATGGAAACTGGAGGAAAATGTTTTTACAATTCCCATTTGCGTGCCAGAGGAGGAGGGGATAAAAGAAAACTCTATAAAGCTGAGAGTCTAGAGGGGCTCATTTGAGCCCCCGTTTTGGGGAACAACCCCCCCCTTGCTTCGGCTGGCATCCTGCTTTGCCGCTTTAATAGTCAAACTCGCTTCGGAGCGCGTTTCTGGGGAAAAGGAAACTGAAAGCTGCGCTGAAAAGCTCGTAGGTGAAGTTGGGAGTTGCCTCTTCTATTTTATCTTTTAAAAGGACAAGCGCTGAACCGAGCTATGTGAAGATCAAGTGAGATGCGAAAGCTTGACAGTCATGCCTACAGGAAACCTTGAATCATTTCTAAGCTTCCTGGAAAATGACGTGGTGAGGTTATCGTTGTGTTTACTAATGATGATCCCCTAGCTCTTACCGATCAGCTTAAAAAATGTCTTAACTACCGGCACCTCAATCTTGGATGCGAATGGGCTCAACTGGGTTCATTTGAAATGCCTGCCGACGTCCCCTGACAATCGTAATTAATAATCGAGCGCAGGGAATGGAGTGCGGCCACCCAAACGGTCTGTTTTCTTTATCGTCGGAGGGGGGGGGAAGGTTTGCTCTGTGCGTTCCCTCGCGGAGCCTGAAAAACTTCAAAACTCTCCCCAAGCCATTTAAAAATTTCTCCTTTAAATCGAGCGTTGCGGAAGGAGCGTTGGTATGTCTTTAGGACAGAGTCTGTCTTTTTTCAGGGGGAGGAGATAGCCGGAAAGCTGCTCGCTCTCCTCCTGACCCATCGCCGCTTTGAAAACACGCTGGACTTGAGCAGAGGTTTCGATTCTTGCTAGCCCAGTCCTCTCTTTCTTGCTCTGTCTGTCCGAGGAAGGAAGCGTGTCCGTCGTCAGCATTTGAACAGCGAAGCTCTCCCTCTCACCCCCAACCCACGTGCACAGCTCTGGAGTAGTCCATGGAAGTGACACTAGGGAGCAGAGAAAAACCAGACTTCGGCAGTAGTGCTAAATTTCAGAGGTTTTTGTTCACCCGAGATTCCAGGCGCGGGGATCGCTGGTAGCCGGCCAAGGAGCTTGGATGGCAGCCTACCCGTTCCTCAGCTCCGCTCAGCTTGCTCCCTATCCCCCGCCTTTCCTTTTTTAATTGCATAATATGCTAGAAAATGATCTGGATTTGGGACTTATTTTTAACCAGAAGAGGCTCACTTCACCCAATCTGATTGTGGATTTAACGTCCAGCAAATGCGTTCTGAAGCTCTTTTGGTTTTGCATTGAAACCCTGACTTCTTTTGCCCCCTCTCCCCCTTTGTAAGGGTTCTTTTTGCTTTGAAATGTTTGTCAGCCGTTCTTGGGGACGTTTGCAAGCCCTCAGCTACCTTGTCTGCCTGCAGAACCGGTGCGTGGCGATCAAATTGGTGTTTAGACCTGCCTGGTGCAGTCATTTCGCGGGCACGGATCCCGTTGGGAGAACTGGGAGTTGTACTCAAATAAAGGCGGCGAGTTTTGTCTCCTAGATGATAGCCACAAAATAAAGCTCATACGAGAGGACTCGGGTTCGGGGGTTAAAAATCTATATCCCTGTTGCACCTTCCCTCTGGGTAGCTGAGGCTGGAAAGTACCGTTTCACCCGGGTAATCACAGATATTTCAAGCCCCCAAACCCCGGCTACTCACCGGAGATGGGTGGTGGTGGGGAGCAGAGGGACCCTGACGTCCTCCCCCTTCAGACGCGTAACGTCGCAGCGCAGCGATTCCTTCATTCCTCTGCGTTTGGGGGTGGTGGATCTTCATGTCACAAAAATAATGGTGACAAAATGAGGCTGGGACTGTGCTGTGTAGAGGAGCGTTTCCAAGCGCTCTGAAACACGCTGGAAGAGACAGCAGCAGGGATTGAACTGCCCTACTTACTCTTAGCTCAGAAATGATTTATGACGTGGGGCAAGTTTGGTAAAATTCCCTTTGTTTCCTTCTTCAAAATCTGCCATCTGACCAGGAGAAAAGCACATGCTTTTACGCTGATTTTTTTGTTCTTTAGCAAGCCCTACGGCAGTCTTTTGTTCTCAAATGAAACCTGACGTGGATGCAGTCCTGAGTGAGGAAGAGGCTGTGATGGGGGAGAAGCGAAGACAAATGGTGCATCTGGAGCGATGTTTGTTCTCTCTGTGGCCAGCAAACTCCTGAAAAGTCTTACTGGAGGAAGCTAAGGCTGTTGGCATCGCTTTAGCCAGGCAGAAGCTGAGGAAGGGATTTCAAACACTGCTGTCTGAAAATGCTTCCCTCACCCAGAAGAACGGGGGGTTGGTGAGAGCAAGGGGGGTGTCAGAGCTGCCATTGCTGCGTGCGCAGATGGGGATGCAGCGCATCCTTCTCCCCCCCAGTGCACTGGGGACTAGGGGTGCTCCTGGGGACCCGGTTCCAGGAGGAACCGGCTTCAGGAGACACCAGACTCCTGTGAAGCTTTCTCAGGCAGATGCCCCTGTCCTCAAACTGGGACCCAGCACGGTCAGGATGGAAGGCCCTGGCTGCAGCAGCGGAGTGTAGTGCAGAGGATGGTCTCGGAGATGAGACTAAGAGACCTGATGGATCTTCTTCATCTGTAATGTATCTGGGTGTAATAACGGCGTTTCCTCCTCTAGTCATTTAGTCCTTAGGTGGTGATGGGTTAAATAAACCCGCGAGGTCAGGTGTGTGTATACCCTGCTGTGCCGAAGGGTTGGGTCTCCTGCCTTCACCGTGAAGGTTTCTCTCACTATACAACGGCTTCTGCCCCCTACAAAGACACTTTGGAATAAAAAGAGCGATTCATTGTAAGAACCTCCGTGTATTCTGTGTGTGTTCCCAGGCATAGTACTGCACCAGTCAGGAAATTTAAAAGAATGTTCAATATTGTATCCGTACCTTGCGCACCTGCGTACAGGTATTTGGGGACCACACGCTTAACCTATGCAAGAGTGACATTTGTTGCCAAGGGCTCGAGTTTTATAGATGCTCTTTGAATTCCCGCGTGGAATTTACCAGCATAGCCCTGCTTAAACACGATGGACCAGAGCGTGGCGTTACGGCGGCTTCTGCTTCCTCATCCCGCTGCTGCGGGCCGGGAGCGAGTTCTTTATGTGGACAGATTTCCACCCGTGGCTGTTAGCGGTACGTGAGGAGGGGACGGAGCGGCCAATCTGTCCACCCCACTGTGCGAGGGAGTAGGTGGGCTGGGGTAGTGATTTGGGGGGGAAGAACAGGCTTCCGGCTCCGCTGGCTTCATGGGTCTCTTCTCTTTCCTTTCAGATATATGTTGGGGAAAGGAGGAAAGCGGAAGTTTGACGAGCATGAAGATGGGTTGGAAGGCAAAGTGGTGTCTCCTACTGACGGTCCCTCTAAGGTGTCTTACACCTTACAGCGTCAGACTATCTTCAACATTTCCCTTATGAAACTTTATAACCACAGGCCATTAACTGAGCCGAGCTTGCAAAAGACAGTTTTAATTAACAACATGTTGAGGCGAATCCAGGAAGAACTCAAACAAGAAGGCAGCTTGAGGCCCATGTTCGTCACCGCTTCGCAGCCCGCCGACCCTCTCAGCGACAACTTCCGCGAGGCCCAGCCGGCGTTCAGCCATCTCACCTCCCAGCCCCTTCTCCCCGCCGACTTCGTAAGCACTACGCCCCTGGAGTCTTGCCTCACCCCAGCCTCTTTGCTCGAGGACGACACTTTTTGCACTTCCCCCACTGTCCAGCACGATGGTCCCACCAAGCCGCCACCTCCCGCTCTCCAACCAGTAAAGGACAGCTTCTCCTCAGCCTTGGACGAAATCGAGGAGCTTTGTCCAGCACCTACCTCCGCAGAGGCAGTAGCAGCCGAAACAGCAGCCCACGACTCTAAAGACCATCCCAACGAGTCCAACGTTCAAAAGCCCGAGGGCCTCCCGGAGAGCAGAACGGCCGATTCCAAACTCATGGACTCCCTACCTGGCAACTTTGAGATAACGACTTCCACAGGTTTCCTCACAGACTTGACCCTGGATGATATTCTCTTCGCTGACATTGATACGTCCATGTATGATTTTGACCCCTGCACGTCTGCCACGGGGGCCGCCTCAAAAATGGCTCCCGTCTCGGCGGACGAGCTCCTAAAAACTCTGGCTCCGTACAGCAGTCAACCAGTAACTCCAAATCAGCCTTTCAAAATGGACCTCACAGAACTGGATCACATCATGGAGGTGCTCGTTGGGTCTTAAAATAGAGAAATATAGCAACCTTTTTTTTTTTTTTTTTCCAATTTTTATTTTTAAATTTTAATTTTAAGTACCAGTATATACACTTGGTAGTATTTCCATAGTTCCTCCCGCCCCCGATTCACAGCACTGTGCATGCGTCCTTGCTTGCCTTTTTTTGAAAAGAAAAGGATCACACTAGTTTTTTGCTTCGAGCAGAGTTGGAGTGCCTTCATCCATGTATGACCACTTCTAATGTATTTTTTTTTCAAGTGGTTCCTCACGGAAGACCGACTATCCTGGGATAAGGAAAGAATATGTATTGTAGACAATGTTATGTTATTACAAAAAAAAAAAAAAAAAAAAAAAAAAAAAAAAATTGTAAAAGCTAAGCACAAGGATTATGTTGGGGAAAGCTGTAAAATTGCATGTGCATATTTGTCTATTTTTTCTATAAGTTTTATTGCAAGAGGTAAAAAATTTTATTATTTAGATAATCTCAATACCATTTTAGCCCTGTATAGGTTGACTTAGCAATTCAGCCTTTTGGAGGCATTAACCTGCTCCTCTTTAAGTGTTGCATTTACATGGCTGTTTAGAAACTGCTGCCCAAATTTATTTTATATTTTTGTACAGATTCTGCAGTTTATGATATTGTTTTTTCTAAAAACAAATGCTGTTTATACACACACAAAAAAAAAAAATAGCTATTTTGATAGGATTTGCTCACATAGTTCCTGCATAATTCAGATGTACAAGAACCACTTGTACTTTTATACAGAGTTGTAATGTTTTATATGTGTATGGTGCAAAGAGAAAATTGGATCAAATAAGCCTGCAGTCGGTTTCCCTGAATGCAAACAAACAAAAACAAACAAACAAACAAACAAACAAAAAGGGCTTTAAGAAAGGGCTGGGAGCTGCTTCTGTAGGAGTTTCACAAGTGTTTGCTCCCTGCTGTACCCACTGCGCACTACTGTGATTCCCGAAACTTAGAGCCATGTCCTTTTTTCCGACACGTATGTGAAGCAGTTGGCAGGAAACAGTTGTGGAACTTCACCCCAAGAGGTCCCGAGCGCCACCGGGGCCTCCATCCCGCGGGACGCGGAGCGCCTTAACACGGCAGCGGATCAGCACTTCCTCACCCGAAGCTCCTGGGAATGGTTTTGAGCCGGGAGGGGGGGGAGGCGAGGCGGGGGGAAAGGCGCCCCGTCGCCCACCGAGAGCCAACCTCTCTCCGCCATCTTCCTGAGCGACGGGCGTACGCGCGGAGCGGGCAGAAGACTGGCGTTGACGGCCTCCACTTCGCCCTTTCTTGGAGCATTTTCTCCTTCCCTCTCGCCACCTCGCTGTGCTAAGTGCTGGAAAAAGGCAACTTCAGTATTACTGCAGTGAAGCTCATCTCTTACCTGCACTGGATGGACTTGCTTTAATATCCATTGCTGTTGAAACTGGAGCCCGTCGTGTTGCAGCACTTGGCATCTCCTGTAGGGTTGGTTTCTTCTATCAACTGCGTTACCCGCTTTACACTTTATAGACCCGTTTTACAACGAATCTACAGACACAGCTTTCTATGCATGGTCCCGTTCCCCCTAACACCCGAGAAGTCTTCTCATTACTGCACCAATAGCGGTTTGGTTGTTTTTTGTTTTTTTTTTAAGTTCATTGTGGTGTACATTTAATTTAAAAAACCAACAACAACAAAACCAACAAATACGTTTGCAATGTATCATGCCTATCGCTGAAGTCGCTACGGCATTTTAGTTTTTCAATGGTACTTTAGCTGTTGAGCGCCGGTTACAACCTATATTGTTGACATGCCTATGGCTTCTTTAGGAATAACGTTTCTATTTATTTAAGAAATTTTAAATTATGTTTTACGTCATTTGGCAATATTCAGTCCGTTCTGCTCCCTTCTTGTCATGGATGGAATTGGGTCTTGTCTGCCTTTTAAGGAGGCGGTTTTTTTAGAAATTGGCACTTTAAACCAGGCCATAAATATTTATTAGTATATAGATAGATAGATGTAACGTAGCTATGCACACAGACACAGTATAAAAGCAAATACGTTTTGCAATGAAGGAACTCCTAGTCGAAATGAAATGCGTCACGTACAATTACGAAACGCGCTTCTGGCTCCTAATTCATCGGCCAGGGTTGGGGGGGGGACACGACACAGCAGGCAGAGGTGGGGTGGGTTTGCCTTCTTCTACTTTCCAAGCCGAGCTCAGCGAAGCAACGGGCTGCTGAGGGATTTCCAGTTCTTCCCTTACACCGACTTAAAAAAAAAAGAAAAAAAAAAAGAAAAAGAAAGGAAAAAGTTAATTATTGCTTCAAACAGAAACCCATTGACCAAGCGTAGCTTTAGGGACCAGCGGAAGTGAGGGGCATGGGGAAGGAGCAGGGGGTGGACGGCTCCATCGCACCCCCGGCAGCGACGGGACCTTGCTCAGCCGCAGTCCTCGGCCTTTGGAGGAGAACCAACAGCACCTCTTGTAACTGGAGTAACTGGGAAAAAAAAAATATGTGTTAGCCGTGCTGGGGTTGCGCGTCCGTCTGCGCAAACCTGTAGGCAGGCGTAACATCGGCACTTTCACAGGGTACCGCGGTGAGCGCTTGCCTTACCGTGGCTAAAAACCGCTTTACAGTATGCTGGAGCTGCCCGCGGTTTGGGTGTTGGTTTTTTGGGTTTTATTTTTTTTTGGGATTACTTACGCATGGAAGAAACGAGGCGGAAGGTGACATCGATGCCACATTGGGGCAGCTGCGCTGTGAAGCGGGGTTAGTCGGCGTTTCTGGATCCACAGGGCAGGAGCCGAGCTCTAAATCCACTTTAGCACGGGGAAGGCCGTGTCTGTGTATCCTTGGTGCTGAGTCCCTGCGGGAGTCCCACAGGACGTCACCGTGTCACCGTACCTGAGTTACGGCGTTAGGGAAGAGGTTAGCGAAGCTGGTGCGGGTCTGTAACCGCCGCGGGCTCCAGCTGTGGCTTCCTCCCCACACGGTCACCTACTGTCTCTAGCGCGGCCTTTGCCGTGGTCCTAACAGCAGCCACAGCTGGAACATCTCTTGAGACCTACACCAGGGATGGAGAGTGACATTAATGTGCAATGAAGTGACAAGATGGGAGCAGAATAAAAGAGCTTTGGATTTGAAGTGATTTTTTTTTTGTTTTGGGTTTTTGTTTTTTTTTCATAAATTATTTATTCTTTTTTTTTTTTTTTTCCTTCTGTAAATATATTTATTTTATTGTGAAGCTAACAACATCTGGATTGTAACATGTACAGAATGTATGGTAGGAATGTATTCTCTTGTAGGAATGTAAATCTGTATGAAAAAGGGTTTGGGAGCCAGATTCAGAGAAAATGAATTGAGTTCCAGTCAGGATATGCATGGTTCAACACGACTTCCCCCTCCATCCCTCCCTCCCTCTTTTTCTAATATGGGTCTGGTTGTTTAAAATATGCAAAAAAGAAAAAGAAAAAAAAAAAAAAAAAAGGTATGGATGAGGGACAGGTTTATGTTCAAAATTAGTCCTAGTCAGGTTCCTACCCCCATCGGCTTCTCCAGACGGGCCTCTCCTCCCGGCACTCAGCTGGAATCTGCGACAGAAGCAAACGCGGTCGTCTCCATCGCGCTGGGACGGGGGGAAAAAACATGATTTATTATGAACACCCCCTGGAAGCCCAGCTGAAGTCCCTGGGGCTGGAGGGCTGAGGGAGGTGGGAAGATGTTCCCTCCAACCCCAGAAGTTGCTCGAGTCCGAACTACCCGCGTTGCTCTCTGCGTCCCACCAGCCCGTCCTCGCCCTCCAGCGCCCGAGGGGACCCCGCAGCCCCACTCTGCAGGGGAAGGGGAACGTCCCTCTTCAGGAGAACGTCATCGAGCGGCGTCACACGTCGATGCACCAACCTGGCACCTTCCTCGCAGCCGGCTGGGACAGCCAGACAGTAAAGCCACCGGCAGAAGCGATCGCTGTAAGAATAAATTTGGACCTTGCGAAAGGTAATTCGGTTTTTGCTCAACGCGGTATGGTAATAGCCTGGGTCGCTTAAAAACCCACGTTTCAAATCCAAAGTTTATACTTTTATCACCATTAAATTGAGTAAATCTTAATGGGTCCTGTCTGACAAACAGTTTAATTCGCTCCAGCGGATTGTGAACTTCTCGTTACAGGGTTTCTTTGGGGTTCCCTCCCCCCCATCAGGTTTCAGTATCCTGCTTTTGCGCGAGTTGCTTTCAGTGCTTCTATTAATTAACAAGACTGAACGTTTTTAAAGAAATTAGTTCTTTTTTTTTTTTTTTTAAGCACTTTTTCTTTTCCTGAAAATAAGCCTAATGCAAGTTCTGGAACCTCTTTTAAAAAAAACAAAAAAACCCGCAAATTGCAGCTAAAAATCCCACCCTCGACTCCTATCTAGTTCTGAGCGTCATCCATACTAGCGCCTGCAAAGGTGGAAAAGGTGTAAATAGCGTGACATGTTCAGTGCATGGTTGTTTGAACAGGGCCTGTTCTTGTCAAAAAAAAAAAAAAAAAAAAAAAAAAAAAAAAAAAAAAAAAGGAAAAAAAAAAAAAAAAAAAAGAAAAAAGGCTGTATTTCCCCTTCCCCTTTCCCCTCCCACAGACCTTAGAGCTGTGCCTTTTCTATGCAATATTACAGACATATACATCTGAAACCAGATTACTGTATTCACGTGTAGGTATGGGCTGTAATCAAAAACCAATTGGACAAATGTACATGGAAATGAGCAGTCTTACTTTTGTAGTTTTATATTATACAATAAACAATTAAAATAAAAGTCTGCCTTCGTTCTCTCCCTCCGCAAAAGGGGACGGGGAGGGTCTCGCCCATGGGAGGTGGCAGGGGACAAGGGAGGGACGGCCCCGGTCTCGCCCCCTACAGAACAAGAGAAATGTCACCTTGTGCGGGGCCTGTTCCTGGCGCGAGGCTCTTGTCCCCGACACAGGGACGTGTCCTCGGTGGCCACGTCCTTCTGTGGCCATCCTCTGGCTACAGAGTGCTAAGGGATGCTCAGCTCCGCCACGGTGCCTGCAGCGGACCGGGGTGCTGTTAGGCTTTGCCGAGAGCAGGATCCGTCCCGTTTTAATACGTATAATGCAGCGTCCCTTCGGGCATTAAATCCCAGCAGGAAACATCTGATACCTTAATCCACTGCTTCATTTATCAGTGTCCTCTCCCCCCTCCCCACCCCTTCAGGTGACCGGTGTTCGCTTTCAGGGCCAGCCAGGAGGGACATCTGGCCCCCATCTTTGGCTCAAGCCTTTTGCGGCTCTAAAGCGGCGAGTGCAGCCCAGGAGTGTCCTTTGGGCTGGCACCGGCTGCGGTGCGCAGCGAATGAGTCACCCCCCTCCCTCCCATCATCCCA